CTTATTCCAAAAGACCTCTTCAAATGCTCAACATGCAAAAGCACCAGTCCTATTGCGTGACTTTGTTCTTTAAAGGCGTTGGGAGAAGGGGAGCAGGGAAGAGGATGGAAACCTGTTTCATCGCCCTGTGCCTTCAAAGAATTGCTCAGACTGATCATAGAAGCAACAGTAGTTGGCCAAGGGGCAAAATTACCAGCAGAGAAAAATGTATGACTGCAGTGTGAAATATTCGATGATACTGTGGGCAACAGTGTTCTTTACTAGGGCACAGGGAAAGAACTTAGTCGACAGCGCAGCGGCTGCCGGTGCGAAAATGTGCTTTCTGCACAATCCCCTCGCTGCTTTTTGTTGCTAATGGCACTATTTTTCCTGGCTAAAAAGCTCGAGAGCAACCACCACGACTATTAGAATTTTTTACAATGATCCCCAATACAATACCCAAAAAATCCAACACTCCGGATGCTTCGGTTGCGGGGTTACGTCAAATTTCACGCGCTCGCACGTGAGTGACGACGTGAATATTGTCTTCGTGTACGCTTGCTCAGACACGAACCTGGCCCAAACTCGGGAAATTTTGACATTCCAACTGCTCTGGTTGCGGAGTTACGTCAAATTTCACGCGTTCGTACGTGAGTGGCTACATGAGTGCTGTCACATCGTGTGCGTTTGCTCAAGCGCGGGCGTGGGCACACTCAGAAAACTTCAATGCCATAGCAAGTTTGGTGTTGAGTTGCGTCAAATTTCACGTGTGCACACGTGGGATATGAAAGGGACGTGAAAGGCGTTTTCGCGTCTACCTGATCAAATACCGCCGTCGGTCTTGCTCATAAAGTTTCAGTCCTCTAGCTGCTTCAATTTCGAAGTTGCAAAAGTGCTTACGTGAAATTTTGACGTGTCCGTAAGTGAGAAGCAAAGGAGTTGGAAAGCTCAGTTTACTGTCACAGACACATCAATGGGCAAAAAATAAAGCTGCAAAATTACAGCCCTCTAAAATTTCTTGCTCAGCCTAAATCTGAAGTTGGCACGATGCTAGTTTAGACTTTGACGTGTGCGTATTAGGACTTAGGGGTGCATGAAGGCTTAATTTGAAATCTTTGGATTAGATATGGTCAAGGAATATCTCTGTGAAGTTTCAGCCTTCTAGCCTGCTCCGTTACCGGAAATGCTTTCCCCTCCAAAAAACTTTCACTTGCCCGTACGTGAAAGCCACGTGGACATTAGCCTCCACTTTGAGGATAGGGCTCGTATGTATGTAGGGATCAAGTTGTCAAAGTTTCAGTCTTGTAGCTTTTGTGTATCTCGAGACCAAAATCGGTACAGACGAACACACAATAACTCTTCGACAGTGTGCATTTTTGCATTGCACAGAATGCAAAAAACGCATGAAAAGGGTCAAGTCTGAATTTGAACTTTGGATCTTCAAACGAATTATGATCATGACCAAGTCTTCTGATCAGAAACTTTGAATTGAAATCTCAGGTTTATAATTTCAGAGCTTCAGGAATTCGAAATTCTGAAATCGCAGCTACCCACGAATGATGATCTTATTCGCTCGAAATCAGTTTTCAAACATTATTTTTTGAACGCACGACCAAATACTAGCTGACGCTAAAGCTCAGAACGAAACAAGCTAGGAACCCGAGATTCTAGTGCCGTACTTGCGATAAATCGCTTGAAAGATCAATATGAACAGTTGCCGGAAGTTCTGCCCAAGGTTGGAGACCCGCAACGGGCGCTGCAAAAACGTATAACCGCAGTTTATTACACTTATTACTTCTGACTTCCTGGCTTGGCACGTCGAATCAGGCACGATTTCGTTGTCTCCTCTTCGAAAGCATTCTAGCCCCATGTAGTACTCAGCATCCGCTCTAGGCACTAGTTCAGTGGCGTGTAAATTGGGCTCTACTGCAATGTGGTGCCAAGAATAAACGCAGGGCAGAAGGCAAGTAAAGGAGGAGGTCACAGGGATGGCAGCAAGGAGGTGTTGGAGGTGGAGATGACTGTAAGTTTGGTGGTTAGTGCGCTTTTCTTCAGGAACATCGATTAGCGGATGGGAGACGTGGGCAGTGCGCGCCTGCCCCTCGACAGGTAGCCTCTATGCTATTTCCATCCGGAAGGGGGTGTTGGTGACCTGGCATGGAGCATCTTTGATTGTTCTTTTTCACATGCTCCTCCATCACTCAGCTTCACCTGAATAAGGTCCAGTTCTGCAGCTAAGGGACAAACTGTTTCAAAACTCCGGTTGTGGTTCCGAGCAACCGCTGTTTTGTGCTTTTTTGTTTTCCAGTTTCGCTTTTATGAAACCTTTCATCTGAACGCAAGGGCATAGCCATTGAGGCAGTAGAGGGGTCTCGGATTTTGACCTCTCTCCCCTTTCGTTGCCTTACGTCCGCTTCCACTCATACTGGTGCGTTGAGCCCAAATATACGCTGAATCAAAAACTTCGGTTCACTCATGCATCTAAAATAGCCAGAACAGGAGCAGCTGATCTCACGCACCGTTCAGTCTCTCTAATGACCAGTGCGCAGCAGTGTACCGTTACCACACAGTATCCCAAGAAAGCTATTTTTGTAATTGCTTTTTTTTACTGAAAGCGTCTGCGTACGTTTTATGTGCATTATAACCTTTGCTATAATTTTGTTTTTAGGATAATCGTCATATATTTCTGAAGAAAGAAGACGAGCGGTGGAATCCCGGAGCGATGTATGAGGAACTGGAGGTACATGATGCTCAGTGTCTTTTTTCTGCCACCAAAATTCCCGGGACTATCAGTATGATTAGATTTTATACGAGATGTAGCCAAATGTCTGGTACCACTGTGCCTATTCCTCTTGCCCTAAGGTTATCTGCCCATACGTTTCATCGACAATACGTGCGTACCAG